TGACACAAGGGTATTTTGTAATAATCAAATCAAGAACTATTTTTGTCTTTTTCCTAAAAATACTAATATCATTTACTAATGTTGGCATACGCCCTATTGGCTTATGTAAAAGACACTTTGATTAATGGAACCCAGAGTCAGGTGAAATCCTAGCAGGCAATGGCCTAATTCACTCATACTCTGTCCACTTTTATGCAAACCACTGACATTTATGCCCTAACTATTTCTATTTTCAACATAATTTGTCAGACATTTCTAATAGGGACTCTTGGCAGCACAGCTTATCCATATATTTGTTAACTCTCTCACTGTTAGAACCAAATTTTAATTAGCTTTTTTATTGCTTGGCAGAAAAAAGCATGGGAGCATTGTTACTTGAGTACTATGACTATAAAACAGAAAATTATACTTGTTCTCAATGTACACATTTCACATTGTATGCCATAATCTAACAGAGAGACGTGTGGTTATGAGTCATTGGAGACATATAAAACCTCTTTTCCATGTCTTCCTTTTGTCTAATTTTCTCTCAGTAATTACTCAGCTGGTAACTTTGAGAATCCTAAATAAAATGATTGTTCATTTTACTGTTAGTCTCTTCCTTCAGACGGGAGAATTATTCACAATGAATAGATTTCTTACTTTTTGGATAAATGAAATTTTTATTTGATGAACCCACCCTTGGAGGTTTATTGTTTGTTAAGCAAAGCTCCCTCCGGAAAGCTGTAGGCAAACATTTATTTCATCTTCCGCTCTTGCACTCCTACCTACAAGGCTACACTGCTGGATTCTAACTTTCTTTAATTCATATCAAGCCCAGTGATCTATTTCTTGTTTGAATTGATTAAACACACACACAGACAGCCAGAGAAATAATGGAAAAAAATTAGAAGGCTGCATTAAAAACTAGATACTAGATAACCTTGTTTGACTCCTATTCAACCTTTCTTCATCAGTCTTAATAGTAAACAGCAAGTTATTGACTGGGTCATTTGAAATGCACATAAAGTAAATGTCATACTGCTTTGAACTAATGAAAGAATCGAACCAAGAAGAATTACAATAATTGCAGAATGTTAAAAGTATTTGGAGTTTAAGTCTTAGAGAACAGGAATCTAGCAGCAGTAACAGGGATGAAGGGAAAGCCTTTTGGTGCAATATGTGCTTCATTTTGTGATGTCCCCACACGGAACAGTTCTTTTAAATCAATACAATCTATCAGGAAGCTTGATTCTATCATACATCATCATTTGTGCAACCTAGCATTGTTAATAAATATGCAAAAGTATCCCCACAGTGGTCTGGTGAACAGCAAGCAGGATCCGTAAACCAGTAGCTGCCCAACTAATAGGACCATCCTCTGGAAAATAGAAATTGCCACCAAGGATGTAACTACAGCAAAAGCAGACCACACAACTACTATAGGACACAGGGCAAAAAGGGCACAGTTCACATCTGTAAAAATCATTTGCTCACTGGCTATATTTATTAGTTTCCCCCTGGCCATGAAAGATCACTTCTGATTTACTACTCATTGATCTAACCGCCCTAGCTAGCTTCTGCCCTAGTTCCTTCTGACCGTGAAGCAGTACTATATAAGTAACATGAGTTCTTCTGTATTCCTGCCTGCACCTGTGAACTATGGCACAAACCATTTGGATTGCCTGGATGCAATTTGTAGGTGTTCAGTCACAATGATCTCAGTATTAAAGGGTATAAATAATAGATCCATAGGCATTCATTACAGGTCAACCACCTGGTCAACAGTGCAAAGAGACGCTAAATAGGGTTTCATTATTTGTTGCCCAACTCTGACACCAATGTTAAGGGATGTACATTATACAATGCCTCTGTCTAACCAAATATATAAAAGGGGTGCAACAAGTGGTTATTATACATTATACAGTAGGCCTCATCATGTTGGAGGACTCATCAAACTCTTGCTAAAGGGCCTGTGATTTTTTAATTATGACTGAGTGTTATCATTATTTGCATGTTTTACTTCTATCACAAATACAAAATCAAGTAGCTTATTTCTCATCAAACTACTCCATAGGTACCACACTCTTGTCCTAAAGGAAAAAAGGGGAGCTGCTCACTGTTTTAAAATGTTCCAATTTTTTTTAAATGTCCAATGCACAGACCACACTCAACAGCCACTTTATTAGATATACCTTGCTAGTGCCAAGAAAATACCCCCCACACATAAAGCAGTGTGTTGATTGCTATGACAGTGAGGTGAAGGAAAATAATGACCCCGGGTTACTTGAGTTCTTAGAAGGGGATTTACCTGCAAATTTTTGGTAGCCATAACTCTAAAACTTGACAGAATTTCCGTGTGCTTGTTAATATGCATTCTTATCTCACTGACTTTAACAAAGACAAAACAGAAAATATTAGTGTATGTGTGTACAAGCCCATAGTAGTTTAATACGTGTGTGTACACAGCAGAATATTCATTATTATGCTCCACTAAAGATGGCAGAGATGTGCATAGACCTCATTCTTATGAGTGTTTTAGAATTGTTTTTGATGCATTGGCCAAATGGTTATAAAAACCTAACCATCAAAATTATATGAGCTTGTTGAACATCCCATTCCAAACTATGGACATTAATATGTGACTCATTCTTTTTTGCTGTAAAAGCCTCTACTCTTAAGTGAAAACTTCCCCCAAGTTTTAGAAGTGTCTACTGTATGTGGGCATTTGTACCCATTAGCCAAAAGAGCATTTTTTAAGGTCAGGTACTGAGGATGGACAAGAAGAACCGGCTCTCAATCAGTGTAAGGTGTTTAGTAGGGTTGAGGTCAGGACTCTTGAGTTCCTCTGCACCAAACTCATCAGACCATGTCTTTATGGACCTGGCTTTGTGTACAATCATCCTGAGACAGAAAACAGCCTTTCCAAAACTGTTGTCACAAGGTTGAAAGGGCACAGTTGTGTTAATTGTCTTTGTGTTCTGTAGCATTAACAGTAGTCTTCACTAAAAACACGTGAACTCCAATCATTTAGAGCAGGGGTGTCAAACTCAATTTCATTGCGGGCCACATAAGCAATATGGTTGCCTCAAAGGGCCAGTTGTATCTGTAAGACTCAATGTCCAGGGCACCTCCCCCTTACATCAGATGTCAAGAGCCCCCCCACTATCAGAAGTCAAGAATCCCCCACTCCCTTACATCACAATACCCCCTACCCTTACCATGTGCTGCTGCTGGGAAGAAGCTGGGGGTGGAGCTAGAAAGCAGAAATTTCAGGGTCTGGAGGAGGACCAGAGAAGGGCTGGAGTCAGCTGCCAGAGTCTGCTGAATGCTGAGACCAGGGGAGGTGTGGTTTGGGGGGTACTGGAGGTGAAGGATCTGTAGGAGGACTTGTGTCCTCCTCTATGCAGCTAACTGCTGAGACTGGGTGGGGACAGAGATGAGGTGCCACAGCTGCAGCAGAGGTGCAAGGGCCACGTGCAATGGCCTAGTGGGCCAGATTCATGTGATTTAGAGGGTGTCCACATATTCTTAGCCAACGTTTTATTTTTGTTTTGAATGGTGAGTAAAACACTTAAAAACTCATTAGGCTTATTATATGTGTTTGTAATTCCTTTAAGGGTATTCCCCATTACTTTTTATCCCAGGTGACGCTTGTGCACTAAATAAGGGGTGCAATATTCTCTGAGAGGGGAATAAAAACATTTTCAGTCCTCCTAACCCTTCCTTGCACCATGAAAAATATGTGTAGCACCCTCCTAGTTTAGCTTGGGGGAGCTAGACCCTGATGAGTAGTGAGGAGCTGATTAGTAGCTCAGATGAAATTGTCAGAGGGGTCAATTCTGGTCAGGACTGAGAGACTCTGCAGGCCAGCCCCTCTGGTATTTCTCCTTTAAAAGGTGTTGGAACCTGCTCAGTAGCTGAGAGAGTGTGTGGTGGGAGAGGAGTGAGAAGCAGGAGAGAGTGAATGGGGAGAGGAGTGAGAAGCAGGAAGATGTGAGGTTGAGGTGGAAGGCTGCCAGGAGGCTTAGTGGGAAGGGTCTGCCTGCAAGCCTGGAGCTGGAAAGGAGGAAAACTCAGGACTCACTGACCCCCTGAGAGATCACCTGTATGATTGGGAAGGAGCAGCCCATCTGATAGGCCTGGTAGCAGCAGCCTTTCCACAAGTGGCACAGGAGAGGGTCTGAGTGAGTACACCTGCACCCCCTGGGAAGATAGGGGAAGGAGCATTTTGGTGGGAAACTGGATTAGCCTTCTACCAGTGACTGCTACCCATTTAAAGGAACAGGAGCCAGATCCCCTGCTCAGGAAGAAAGTGTCCAGATTGCTGGGTGAAGAGGAGTTCATCTAGGTCTGGGGTAGTACAACTGGAGATGCTGGCTATCACTCCAACAGAATCTGTATCAGAGAAAAGAAGCTGTGAATAGTTCAGGAAGTTGTCCTCAGATTTTAGTTCCCTTGGGAATCCTATATACTCCTTACCCCATCCAAGTTTAATCCCATCAATAAAATAACAAAACCAATGCTCAATACCTGATTTCTGTCTACAAATGAAAACTTGTGTGGAAAGTGCTAACTGACTGGCTGTGCAGGACTATAGGGCGAACCAAATTTATCAGCAATCCCTAAGGGGATAATGCTACATATGTTTTGTTTTTTTTATGTTGTTATTGGAGAGGTTTCTCATTAATTCCTTTTTTTACAAGAAGTCAGAAGAAATCTCCCCAGTAGAGTCACAAAAGGAAATACAACTTAAAAAGGCTCTAATCCTTCCCTGCTCTGTCCCAGAAAGAAATTGGCTGGAGTTGGAATTTAACTACTTGCCAACCGCAGATAGAATGACGACTACACTGTGACCAGCCAGTTCTGGGAGGGCATCATATGACGTCCTCCCAGAACAAGCTCTCCTGCGCGCCCCCAGGGGCACGCACCCGGCGGTCTCCATGATCGCTGTGTCCTACGGACACAGCTGATCACGTGATGTAGTAAAATACCAATCACATTGGCCTTTTACCACGTGATCAGCTGTGTCCAATGACATGCTGATGACCGGGAAATGCAATTGCCGTTTCTCGGCTGCACTTTCCTCACGCTGTCAGACGTGAGGAAAGTACTGCCGAGAACCGGCAGTTGTCAGAGCAGGGATTGGCACCAATCATCAGGGCACTGATGATCGGTGCCCAGCAGTGCCACCCACCAGTTCCGCCCACGTGTGCCCAGCAGTGCTCCCACCTGTGCCCAGCAGTGCTCCCACCTGTGCCCAGCAGTGCACCCACCTGTGCCACCCAGCAGTGCCACACACCTGTGCCCAGAAGTGCCACCTACCTGTGCACAGCACTGCCACCCACATGTGCCCACCCACCTGTGCCCACCAGTGCCACCCACCTGTGCCCACCAGTGCCCAGCAGTGCTGCCAGTCAGTGCCACCAGTCAGTGCCCAGCGGTTGCACCAGTCAGCGCCCAGCAGTTGCGCCAGTCAGTGCCCAGCAGTGATGCCAGTCAGTGCCACCTATCAGTGCTGTCTATCAGTGCCGCCTATCCGTGACACCTCATTAGTGTTGCCTATCAGTGCCGCCTATCCGTGCCACCTCATTAGTGCTGCCTATCAGTGCCCATCAGTGCTGCCTATCAGTGCCCATCAGTGCCGCCTATTAGTGCCCATCAGTGCTGCCTCATCAACGCACATTAGTGAAGGAGAAAAATTACCTGTTTGAAAAAGTTTATAATGGAAACAAAGAAACTTTTTTTTTCAAGTTTTTTGCATTTTTTTTGCGCAAAAAGTAAAGTGTCCAGCGGCGATTAAATACCACCAAAAGAAAGCTCTATTTGTGAGAAAAAAATTATAAAAATTTCATATGGGTATAATCTTGCATGACCGCGCAATTGTCAATCAAAGTGCGACATCGATGAAAGCTGAAAATTGACCTGGTAAAGAAGGGGGTATAAGTGCCCAGTAGGCAAGTGGTTAAAGAAGAAAACTTCAATAGTTTTGGTGTGAAATGCATCAAGGTGTTAATATACCACTGTTACTGTTATGTTTCATAGTCTTTAACCTCCTGATCTTCGGACATGCTGCATGGAACTGTATTTTAAATAGTTAAAAACAATCTTTGTTTGTAGTTCTGGGTAGGTCAGAAATGGACCCAAAACCTCTATCAGGTGTTCATTGCTGTCCGTGTCTTCTTTGATAGGAGATCATTGGGACAGGAACCTTCTAGGAGAGTTTGTGGAAGTAAACCTGCCTGTTGAATTCTGGTCCTTGCTTTCAGAATTTGTCCCTTATGGATTAAAAGTGAATAGCTGAGGAAATAGTTTTCTGCTGCTGAGGCCTATCCCAAGCTGTCTATAAGTCTTGGGCTGAGAGTTGGATGGAGGTACTGGAGTAACGCGATATCCTCCACTGACCTATTGTCACAATAACATATCTGGTGCAGAGAATGTAAAAGGACCACTGTTCTCCAGAGTAAGGATCATTGTGGATAAATCTGAGCATCCATCCAGGGACTGTTGAAAGTGAGATACGAAAGGTCTAACATTCTTTTGGGATTTCTGTCCTACTCATTTTGTCTTCTTCTTCAAGCTATCTGAACCAATGCTTTAGAAAAGGCACCCAAACGTACTCAGTTGGCCATATTCAACATTTTGTTTGCATCAGAACTGTTTTTCTCCACATTCATGTCAGTTGTAATGCAAAATCAGTTTAAAGCAAATTATTGTTGCTTAGAAGGAGGTCAAAATTGGGTCCAAAGGAGGTCAAGTGCATCTGTGAATGAACTCTGAATGATCTGAGAAGCATCTCAAACTGATCTCAAATACTAGCTGCATTTGCCAGTTGACGCAACCGTAGGTAAATTTCCTGGGATTTATGTTTCAGTTCAAGGTCGTACTTGAAATTCCAAGCCCAGCTGAGTGGGGATACAGAGAAAAATAATATGGATAAGGATGAACAAAGGCTCATCTTTCAGTTAGTATATATATATGCAAGATATGTTTATAGTCAAGTGAATTAGTCCAGTTAGGCTACAAAGAGGGTTGCAGTTTATTGATTTTACTTGTTTTTTTTTACCTGTGTCTCTTTAAAATTTAATCACATAAAAATATGTAATTTTTTACGTGTGTATGAGTGCTAGGATTGTACACTTAAACATTCTGCATACAATTGTCACCATGATAGTATATTTTGCCCGAAACATCTGTTCACCTATTTGTAACTTGTTTGGTAAATAGTTTTTTTTATCTAGCTGATCCTTGTGACAAGTCTTTTTTGCCCAGATGGCAGAAAGCCCTGTAGGTAACGTATTTCTGATTACCACAGCAGTATGGAATACATGAATTTTTATTAGATACAATTGATACGTTAATCTCAATTTTTTTATATAAAAGAAACAAAAACCCATAGGTTATTCCGATGCCTGCAGCATTTCTAACTTCCTTCCTTTTTTAACACACATAATAAAAGTAAGGAAAGGTCTGAGCATTATTATCATATACTCATTTGAATATCACCTACATAAACTGTACAGAAGGAAAAATAAGTGAGCTTCTGTCTTAATCCTCAACCAAATGCTAAATCTAACCTGCAAAGCTTTTGGGATCTTGACTCCTCCATACATCTTCTCAGTATATTTCAGGAACTCTCTCTTTTCTCATTGTTTTGTCTAAACCCAGAACCAACTTGCACTAAGGGTAGCCATAGACAGTTCATTTTTTTCAATCAGGCAGCAGGCTGATCGGAAAAAAAAAAAAATGGATTTCCCTATCCACATTAGATATAAAATCCTCCCTGCTGCACCGTTGTTTTCTGACAGTGGGACTCCACCACTGTCAGAATACACTGATCAGTGGCTGCAGCAGATTGTCATTTTCTGTAAAATTCAATGCAATATGGCAACATGGGATCTTCTGTACACCAACGCCCTGCTTGTGTGATTGGCTCACTGATTATCCCTAAGATACAAGTAAAATTTTAGGTACCTACTGCAAAATGAATTTCAATTGTGGCAAGATACTTGCCAATGGTTAAAGACTTCTAAAGGGTGCAGACTGTTTTCTCATTAGAACACTGACAATGCACCAGCTAATTCTAATGAACCATTTTGGGATTTACACAAGGTATGTTATAAAAAATCCATTTATGATCCTATGACACAATAAATTATTAACAAATGCACAGAATCAAGCATTTTACTCTTTTACTTGCCGCATATTTTCTTTCCAAAAATTATGTTTTATTTATTTGCAATGTGGCTTTGAACTTGCTAGTAAATGTGAGATGTGATATCTGGGGGCACCTTATTTTTGTAAGGGGGTTGCAGATTCCAATAAGCACAAACCAGGGTTGTGGGGAAAGGCCTTGTCCTCATCAAGACATGATGCTCCCTCATTTTTCCAGGTATGTGGCCTGGTATGGTTCAGGAAGGAAGACCTGTATACTTGTGTCTGGTATGGATTTTTGGGTGATGTCCTGTCCCCCCCCTTTTTCTTTTTTTTGCATTCTTAAAAACTTTATACCAGACCAAACTTCATGCAATGCCCGAAATGTCTGATGTAGAAATTGGCAGTAACCCATGTCATTATTTTTTTTTTGTGCCTGGAGTCCGCCTTTACATTCATACTTGACCGTCATCAAGGATAAGTGTCTAGTATGTAATTTCAAGAGGGACACCACACCATTTTTTTGCCTGGGGTCCTCTATTAGCCTCAATGCCAGATCCCCATGTAGGATAAAGGTCCGTTATAGATGAAAGCCATTCCCAGCTGCTTTGTTTACAGAGGGAAGTAAATGACCAGGATTTGTCATTTACCAGCATTTTAAATGGCATTATTTTCTTTGTAAATGTTTTTTGTGCTGTGTACCTGTATATATTGTACAGGTGCACCACTTCAAGGGTAGGTTAAGGGCATCCCCCAGGCATGTTATACAAAAGGGGTTTTGCATTTCTAATCTTGCCCTTCTGGCACTTTGAAAATTGCTTCCCTCCTCCAAATAGAATTTATTTAAAGAAGACATTTTTGGCATTGGTGAATGTTCTCCAGGGCAATCCCCCCCCCCCCCATGTCATTTGACAATGCTTGCCTATTAGCCTAAAAATGGTCACACTGTCTTTTTTAACATTAGGCCTGTTGACTTCAGTGGGGTTTGGAGAGAGCCATTTTGACAATGTGATATACTTCTGTATGGCCAGCCCGACCCTGTACCTGCTCTCCTTTGTGTCTGCAATGCGCACAGATTTCTGTTCCAACTCCACTGTGGATTTTAACTCTGCTGCTATCATCTTTTCACCCTAAAAATATTTTACAGAAAATGAGCAGGAGTCCTTCCATGTGATCGCACATATTATCAAAAACCTACCAAAGGTACTACACATTCTGCACTCGAAAATTAAAAAAGAAAAAGGTTTGGCAGGAGTTTCACTTTAAGGTGGCAGAACATTTTGGTACAGCAACTGTCTATGCAATTTGATCATTACACCCAGAGACAGATCTATCATCTAATCATTAAAAGTTTAGCCCCGTATCACTGCTATGTAGTATATATGGAAAATATGAATCTTGTGATTAGTAAGAAGAAACATTTTAATTAACAGCTAATTTAACTGTGAAAACGTTTATTAACAGTGTTTTTACATCTTCCATTTGGCCTGTGTTATAATTTTTTTTTTTTTTTTTTAATTTAGTGTACAGCTAGGCTGCATCCCATGGCTAGCATTAAGCTGTCCCTTATGAACTGTATAGCTTGCAGCTGTCCAGCTCGGCTTTTGCAAATCCTGTGGACTCTGCATGGTCTCTGAAAATCCTACATGCTGTGCAATTTGCATTTTTCCTTGGCTTTAGTAAACTCTACAGATCAGTGTAGCATGCAAATAGACTCGTTTCTGAAAGGATGTTCAGTTGGACTCTCTGACCTATATTTACTGTCAGCAGGTAGAGCATAGCAACTAAACTCAATTTATTCACTTTAAGCTTAGCGCATATATATTTCCCTAACAGTGCATATTCAATGGTATAAACAAAAAGGAAATAACAATGCATAAAGAAGCCAACATTATGTCTGACTGATCCTCTGATGCTCTCTGTTCAAGCAGCACGACTTGGATCGATGTAAGCCAAATAATCAACCTCAAAGAGGAACTCTGCTAAGTACTGTGTGTATATACAATGACCACATCATATAATCCTACTGCAGAGAAAAAAACAATTGAATATGTATAGAATCTCCATGTTTCCATATGACAGGCCTGTGTGCAGAAATTTTTGTTCTTCTTGTGGCCACTCACCTTCTTTAGCATATCATGGCTTACCAGAAAAAACCCAGCAGCCACAATACACTGGGAACTTTCCAGCTTTGATCCTGTATGAGCCGTGCTGTCAATCAGTAGGATGTAGTAAAGAAAGCGCAAAACCTCCACAAT